GATTTCTCTGGCTTACCTGGTCTCTCATGGGAAGTTCATTGTGATTCTGATGGTCATTCGTGTGTGTGTGTGTGTGTGTGTGTGTGTGTGTGTGTGTGTGTGAGAGAGAGAGAGAGAGAGAGAGAGAGAGAGAGAGCGAGCGAGCTTTAATGACTTTAAGACTTAGTTCTCTGATTTTTAACAGGTGGTTGGTGTATGTCTGCACATTTGTTGCTTAGTGTTTTACGCTCCTTGGGGCTGCCTGGTCTTCTTGGGTTTTGGATTCGCTGTCTCTCATTGATTTGGAAGAAGCCTCAGCCGTTATCTCACCAGATTTCTTCTGCTGTGTGCCCGCACTGGAACTGATTCACAGTGGGAGTTTGTACCATGCATGTTAGCACCGCTCTTGGATTCCCTCTGTAAGAGTTTCCTCTCCGCCCCTCTTTTTTCTCTTTGTGTTTCGGTTCATGTAATTTCACGTAATTTCATGTAATTTCACCTGAAGACAAGTCCTCCTCTAGATAGCTGCCCATTAAAGGAGTTAGCTCTGATGCCATACTTTCTGTACCCAACAAGCATTTTTATATCTCCCCCTCTCCACCTCCCCCACCCCCATCCCTCTCCTCCGAGAAGACTTAAAAAGTACAAAGTAGGTGGTATGTTGTCCCTGTCCCCTCCCACTCCTCCCCCAACTCCATCCCTGTCACCAGCACCCTTTCTCATGGGAAAGACTGGCAAATCAGCAGCCCTGCAGGGTGTCAGGGCCCTAGCGACTCCAGGTAGGCTCTGGGGCCCACTCTCTGATGGCTGCCGACAAGTGAGTGGTATGGTACCTTCTCCAGCAGTTTTGGAGTGAGCTGAGTGGAACAATGATGCTTTCACACCCTAACCAGAGGCAGCTGTGATTTGCTTTATTTTCTTTTTAAAAATTCTAAATTAATTTTATGTGTGTACACCTACATGTCTATGTGTGTGCACCTGCATGTCTTTATATCTACCACATGAGTGAAGGAGCCAAAAGAGGGTGTTGACTCCCCTGGAACTCAAGTTACAGAGGGTTGCAAGTCCATCAGAGATCTGGCTTGCACAGCACCAGGTCACCTGGGCTTCATGTGCCAGCACAGAACTGAGGCAAAATGAAGAGGAGACTACAGAGGGAGCAGGAACCAGGTCCGGGGGTATGTTGGTAGCCCCACGTGTGGACTCAAGAGCCTGTCTGGATTTGCTAGGGCCCCAAGGGGGTCCTCCTTTAACTCTCCACCTCGTTTGTTGAGATAGGGTCCTGGCCTGTAAGCCCCCAGGATCTGCCTGTCTCCACCCCCCCAGCACTGGGGTTATAGATACACACTGTTGTACTTCTCTTTTGTATGGGTGCTGGAGATCCAAACCTGGGTCCTTGTGCTCATGAAGCAGGCGCCTTACCCAATGAACCTTCTCCCCAGCCTAGACTCACCTGATTTTCTTTTCAGTGCTGGAGATGGACAGAGAGCCTCCTGAATGCTAGGAAACAATACTAGTCAGCCATGTCCCCAGCCCGATTCACCTTCTGGAAATACCATTTGTTTGCACACATTAGCAGAAAAATTTCTCATGGGATGCAGGACTCTCTGAATTCCCCAGGCATGTGTGTCCCATTAGGGACAGTTGTATTTGGGGGGCATCATGTAAAACCCACACTGATCATGAGACTCATGCCTGCCTCTGGTCTCATGACACATGCTCGGTACCATGTGTCCATGTTACACATGATTCTCAGGCCTGCTTCCCGAGGGCACCGGAATCAAGATTATGATGGCTGACAGAGGGGTGGCTGCGTCTTCCTGGATATTCAAATCCAGTATGAGGTTTAATGACAGCCCTGACAGCATGGGCCACAGCCTGCCAGCCACCACATCTGCAGTGTGAGCACGGAGACCCAAGGGATTTGCTTGCCCTATAGGAGCTTGGGCACCCCTGTGCAGCTCGAACTCATTGAGATCCCATGCTGGCCTTGTAGGTTCCTGGCGCCCATTGTGACCACCCCCAGCAAGTGAGATTTGGACACAGACAAGGTCCAAGCTACAGCCAGCTCTGGCCCCTGAGGCATAAAGACCCTGAAACCAGCCTAAAGTACTCACATCCCAGTTCCCTCTAACAGGCTCTGATTCCCCCTCTACAAGGTCATGGGTCCCAAAGCACCCCAGAACAAATGAGGCCATGTACAGAACCGTGGGTCCCGTGTCTGGCACATATGAGCACCCAGGGGATGTGGGCAACCGCAGCCATGTCATGGGGATTGACAATAACCCATGAGGCCATCAGTCCCTAAGAACAGCCCCTGTCTCCCAACTCCTAGTAAAGATCATTTTCCTGAATCCTGTAGCTGTCTATCAAGTCAGAGGTCTGGGGGAATGTGGACTGGGGAGGCAGATGGAGCCATGCTTCAACTTCCCCCGCTCCAAGGGGCATTTGATTCCCACGTCCCGGACTGGGAGGTGACATGGGAGAGTGCCAAGGGCAGGATTCGCTCGGGAATGATTCATTCTGCTTCGTTTAAGGGGAGTCCATGGAGACAGGCTGCTCCGAACCAGCCTTCACTGTCTCTCCCTAGGGAGCCCAGCCTCCCTGTGCTCTTCCTGATGGCGAAGGGCCCTGGGGACAGGGACAAGAGAGCAGGGAGCCCTGAGATGCACAGAGGGGTCTGGGATGAGCTTGCTTTTTGTGCCCCTGCAGAATTGAGTCCCCATGGCTTCCTTCCACCTGAACCATGCTGTCTGCCTCACTCAGCCCAGCTACCACACCAGAGAGGTCACCAGCGCCACACAGCAGGGGATGCGCATGCACGTGTACACATGCATGTGTACACACAAAGGCCACTCCCATGAGCAAAAACACTTGCAGCTATGACCCTGGGATGGAGTTGAGAGCCCTGTGGTTCAATGACACACACAGTCACACCTGGAGAATAACATGGTCACACACATGATCACACACAGAGTCACGTAGAGAATAACACAGTCACACATGGAGAATAACATGGTCACACGTGGTCACACACAGTCATAGCTATAGAATAACATGGTCACATACACAATCACACCTAGAGAATAACATGCTCATATGTGGTCACACATGGTCACACTGAGAGAATAACAGTCACCACATGTGGTCACACACAGAGGGCCATACCTACATAGTCACACCTAGAGAATAACATGGTCACACACATAGGGTCACATACTCATGGTCACACTAAGTCACATCTGTAGAGTCACACATGTCACACAGTCTCACATGGAGAATAACATTGTCACCACATGGTCTCACACATGGTCATACATAGAGAATAACACAGTCACATGTGTGGTCCCACACAGTCATACATAGGAAATAACATGATCACCACATGTGGTAAAACACACAGAGAGAGACAGAGGAAACAGATGGAATAACATGGTCACACACATAGTCACACACACAGTAACACTTAGAAAATGAAAGGTCACCACACATGGTCACACACATAGTCATACGTAAAGACTAACACGGTCACACACATAGTAACATATGTGGTCACACATGTAGTCACACACATAGCAAATAATATGGTCACACAATCACAACCTCACACACATTGGTTCACATGGTCATGCACACAGTCACAGAGATAAACAGTCTCACACATGGTCATGGTCACACACAGTCACGCAGAGAACAGCATAGTCTCACACACAGTCCTGCACATACAGGGTATCGCTAAAAATCCTTCTCTGGGGGAGATGTGGGCAGCATCCACCCCTCATAAGGTCCTAACAACAAACCAAAGTTCAGTGCCACCACAGTTCACTCTATGGAACCAGTGAGTTTACGGGGCTTATCCACAGAGTGTGGGTGAGGGGTCACCTCCAGGAGCATGGGTGACCCAAAGCAGCCACACAGGAAGCCTTCACCCAGCATGCACCAAGGCTTCTATAGCTTCTTAGACAGAGGCCCCCTTGTCCTGCTCTTCTCTGCCTGTATACTCTTCTACCTCATGAAACACAGAGGTCATGTGCAGTCAGGGCAAAACTGCATACAACTGGCTGGGAGGAGTGGCAGGATACTCCTGTAAGGTGCAATGACTCCCACCCCCTCCTAGGAGGGAAAGTCAGCAGCCCACAGGTCCCATGTGATGGACTCTTGCAAGTGGCACAGCTGATCTCACAAAGATGGTGGCAGTTTGGCTCAGAGAAGAGGGCCTTACAGCACAGGGTCAACAGAGTCCCGTGTACACAGTCTTATACATATAGGATCTCACATATCCATATGTACACTGTCATTGAAAATAGCACAGACACAGTCAAGGTATCTCACACACATGCAAACTGCCCTCTATTTGCTCGTAACCATCAGCTGTACTCTAGGCCACCCTAGGGTCAAGGATATCACCGCTCCTTTGTGGACCAACTCCACAAAAGTCAGGAGACTTTGGGCTGGCAAGATGGCTCAGCACATGCTGTGAAGCCTAGATACCCAACTTTAATCCCTGGAACCCACATGGTGGAGAGAAAGAACCAACTCCTACAAGTTGTCCTCTGACTTCCACATGTGCTTTGAAACATACACATACCCACACATAACACAGTCTCATAGATGTAAAAAGGTCTCCCTTGGATCCTGGCCCAAAGCCTCTACTTGCCATATTGATGGCCCAGTCTGAATGTGCCTGGAAGTCTCTCAGAATCCACTGTCATGTCGCTGTGGCTTGTGGGTGACCAGCTCAGTAGGGACCCTTGATAGGCCCGCAGCAGGAGCATGGGAACAGGGCCCTCCAGCTTAGATTCCAGGTTCACTGTAGCAGGGACTGGGCATCTACCCTCTGATGGCCAGTGCAGGATGTCTGGGAATGGCCACAAGCTGTCCAGGACACCCACCTACTAGAGCTAGGGCCATGCCTCATGGGCTGGGCTTCCAAGAGGAGGCAGAGGGGCACTTACCTCTGAGTGGACAAGACTGAGTGAGTCCCAGCTGGATCCTCTGACAACCCCTTTTCATATTCACAGGAGTTACGGGGAGCTCACTGACTGCACCAAGCACGTGGCGGAAAAAATCGGCTGTTTCTGGCCCAACCCGGAGGTGGACAAATTCTTCGTGGCCGTCCATCACCACTACTTCAGCAGCTGCCCCGTGTCTGGCAGGGCCGTGCAGGATCCCCCCAGCAGCATCCTCTGTCCCTTTATCCTGCTCCCCATCATGGTGACGCTGCTGATGACCACGCTGGTGGTCTGGAGGAGCAAGCGCACAGAGGGCATCGTGTAGGTGGCCTGGGTGCTGGGAGGCTGGGAGGGCCAGGGAGTGTGGGCCCGGCCAGGCCCTGCATCAGGCTGAACACGCCCTGACTGGAGGTTGGGACCCCTAGGGGAAGGGAGTAGGGGCCCCTCTTTGCCTCTGGAGAGGTTTAAACTCTGGATCTCTGTTGGACTTGTCACCATCATGCCCATTCTGACCTCCAAGCCAGACTGCTTACTCCACAGACATGTTTGTGGATGCACAGTCTATGATTAAAAAAGTGTCCTTGAACTTGGGAATTGTTCTGATTTCTATGTAGAAACAGCCAGCCCTGGGAGGTGAAGGGTGGGAAAAAGCCATTCCTAAAGACCCCTTTGCTAATGGGAGTTCCTAGGGGCAGGAAGAAGGCTCAGTCAAGGGTCCTGTGTGTGTGCTCAGGGGTACCCGTGTGATTCCGGTGCCCTTGGCCCCCACCATGCAGTCCCTCCTCTTAGCACCTGGGAATGATCATAAATACAAGAGTAGCAAGAGCACCTGCGGTGAGCTGGAACCACACGACACACAGGGTCGTGGAGCTCAGGGCAGCGGGCAGGGAAGCAGTGCCCGTGCCTCCGTTGACAGAGGAGGGCTCAGTCATTGCCCAGCTTCCCTAAGGGACCCTTTGGTCACGCTGCATTCCCTGAGGAACCCCAACACATGGGACAGGTGAAGGCCAAGAGGTACCAGGGATGGTGCCCTCCCCACTCCTTAGCACTGTCCCTTTGGTCCTTAGCCCAGGGACAGCAGTGACAGTTTTAATTTGGAAAATACCATTGAGCCAGTTGTGGCGGTGCACGCCTGTACTTTGGCGTTGGAGAAGCTGAGGTAGAGGGCTTACTATGAATGAGGACGGCCTGGGTTAGGAAGACCCTGTTCCCAAAAACCAAGATGAAAAAAATAATAAACAACAGGAAGGAAGAAAAGAGCAAAGGAAAATAATATTTCGTTTCTGCCCTGAGCTGGGGGACAGCCTCTTTGCCAGAGCTTTGTCATAGAAGTCTTTGGCTGAGGCTCGGGGGGGTGTTGGCAGGCGGGAGCCCGGGGGACTTTTGGAAGTCACAGAATCCAAAAACAGCAAGAGAATGAGGGAGTTCAGCTTGGGAAATGGAATTGGCGCAGTATGCCGTTCCCCGAGCTGCTCATATTAATGAGCTCCGAGGGCTTCCTGTAAGCCAAGAAGACTCTGGACTGAGATCATCTTCAAAGCAAGGCTGACCCTGCTGTGCTAAGCAGGGCACACACAGGCAGCACGGAGTGGAGGCGGTGAGCCCCAAGACCCCACGCCATCCTTCTGGGGAACCTCATCCATGGGGAGTGAAACCTGCTTCATGTTCATTGAAAAAGAATATTGGTGGTTTCTGCCTAAGGACAGACAGAAGGCTGTACCTGTCACAATCAAATGTTTATTCCCAGTAATTTCTCTTCTAGGAATTCACCCCAAATACACAATTAGAGATGTGCAAAAGGGCCTGTGGGGACTAAGAGCAGAAGAGGCGACAAGCTCCATGGCCCAACGGAAGACTGCTCATTAGATGAACTCCAGATACAGAAGGCAACTTGCTTTCCGAAAATGACAGGCATGGGGGCGTTTCGCTGGTGTAGAGTTCATTGGAAAGGGTAGATTTGGAAACAGGAAATGGAGGTGACCTCAGTGTTGTGTGTATGTACACACACAGTCCCTGTCCCTGGTCACATTACACTGGGGGAAGACCACACAACTCCCCCACACACGTGCATATCTAGCTGCCACCATCCAGTTGCTTGGTGTCACTTCCTAGATGGATGACATGGTCAGACCCCGAGTGGCCAGAACTCGAGTCCTGATTGGACCCTTTCGAGCTGTGTCCCTTAAGCAACTCTGTCCTGGGTGGCCATGTGACCTGGCGTGGGCCATCTGCCTAATCCCAGGGCTAGTGTCTGTGCTCCTGTGAGAAGAGGTGGCCTTTGAGAGGAGCCTCGTCCTTGGGGTCAGGCAGGAAGGTGTATGGGAGGAAAGGCTGGCAGATGCTCTTCTCTGTGATGGACATAGAAGATCAACAAAGCACTTTTCAAGGCCATTTGGAAGGGCAAACTTGGACCCAGAGGTTGTCCCCTCATGGGGTGTGCTCAGAGGGCCCTAGCATTCCCAGCTATTCACACCCTAGGGATAGAACGTTCCGGAAGTGGGAAGCTTGACGAGCCCTTTGCTGGACAGTTTACAAAATGGTCCCTCTTCTCAAACCCACCCCAGCCACATCTCCTGGGTCTGGGGATTGCCATGCAGAGCCCTCCCCACCTCCCTGGCTAAGGAAGCTTGCTCTCTGATCGCCCCTGAGATTAAGGTGGGAGGAGGGCAGGGATGCCTGGAGGTCCACGTCAAGGGAAGATGGCATGCTCAGTACAGCCTGTCATGATGGCATCTGCACCCCACACCTGCTGACTGCCCCCAAACACACTTGGGTGCTGCTCAGACTTGCCTTTGGCGCCTTCTTATAAACTCTGCCATTTTTAAAGACAGCAGGAAGGGCTGGCAAGATAGTTCAGTTGGTAAAGGGTCATGAAAGCACGAGGACCTGAATTCAAGCCCCAGAACGCACGTTATAAAACAAAACAAAACAGGCATGGTGGCACACTTGTAATCCTAGTGCTGGGGAGGAAGGAAGAGACAGGGTAGATAGATCCCTGGGGCTCGTTGGCCAGTCAGCCTGGCTTACTCAGCAAGCTCCAGGCCAATGAGAGAAAGCAAAGTGGTTGGCTCCTGATGATTGACAGTAGAGTATGACCTCTGGCCTCCACATGCACAATGCACATCTGTACACATGTATCACACACACACACACACACACACACACGACTTTAATTCTTCCAATGAAGAGGCAAGACAGCTGCCCCTCTGGGCCTCAGTTTCCTCACCTGTCAAAGGACAACCCCAGACCACAGATGCTGCGGGAGTATTTGTAAAGAGAGCCCTTGGCATTGTGCCCAATATACCACAGCTGTTAACCTTTGCCATGGAGACTCGGTCTTCATGCAAAGACCTGCAGTTCCTCCAGGTGTATCTTCCTGCCTCTCAGCCTCCCCCCTGCTCCATCACACAGAGGCAGGCAGATGAGTAGACTCACCCCTGGTGTTAACAGGAACTACTGAAGGGCCACGTTGGGAAATTCGCTCCTTCCATTCTGCACCAGATAGACGTGCAGCAGTCCCTGGGGCTGCATAACAGACTGAACAAGGCCCAGGCTAGAACTTTCTTCCTCTAAGTTCTCCAGCCTGGAAGTCTGACATCAAGATGTCAGCAGGGTCGGTTCTTCTCCTGGGCTTGCAGATAAAAATCATGCCAAATTACATACAACCCATCCAGCGACCTCACCTACCCATAAGCACCTCTTTAAAGGCCTTCCCTCTTCATAGGAGTCTGAGGTATGGGGGATTAGGGTCACAACATATGAACTGAGGGGAGGCTTAGGGGGACACAACTTGCCCATGACGAGACCCCACTTCCTGGAAACCACTGACGTTAGAGAAGCAGTGTTGTAACTCTGGGTGAAAACCAGTGGAAAACAGCTCTGGCCAGACATGCTAGGCAGAAATCACAGAGGGAACAAAAACCTGCTTCTCATCAAAGCCCATCAGTGCACATTCTTGTCAGGAAACGCAACGCTCAATTAGGAAGGGGCGGGTGGGGAGGGTCTCAGGGGAGACTCCTCCGAAAATTCCAGAGCCCAGTTCCTGGCTTTTCATCCTGTCTTATGACTGCTCTCCTCTCCCAACGCCATGTTCCTGACCAGATAGTGTTTCTTGGTTTTGTTTTATTTATTTAATTTCCCACCACTCACCCCACCCCCAAGCTACACAAGGAACAAAAGGATGGGACTGAGGACAGAAGAAAGAGAAAAACGCATTTTTCTTGAGTTAACTGGGTCAGCTGTCAGGAAAGTGGGGGTGGGGTGGAGAATATTCAAGAATGTGAGGGAGGCCTGTGGATCAGGCCAGCAGAGGGGGAGGTCTGCAAGCATGCTACTCTAGGCAAGAGCTGTCTGTGGGCCAGGCCAGAGCTGAGGAAGGGCTGTCACCTCCTGCTCTCCTGACTTTCCTCAACCCAGAGGTCACGTCTGATTTCCAGGTAGGAAGACTGAGGCACAGTGGTGACAGCACATGCCTGAGAGGCTGGAGCATGGGTGCCAGAGCCAGGTTTGAAGCCAAGGCTCTCTAACCCTGAAGCCACATTCCCTCACAGGTCGGTGCCACCGCCTTAATACAGACTGAGGATAAGGACCAGGGATTGGGCTGGGCAGAGGCGGAAGGTGGGGAGGCTGGCTGCCCCAGCTGGGGATGCCCCTGGGGGTCACAGCTTGGGTGTTTGCAATCCCGGGTACCAAAAGCCCAAGTGTAAGGCTTTTGTCCTTTCCTGCCAGAGCGTTCCTGGAGCCACCTATGCCCCCAGATACCCAACAGAGCAGCGCACAAGCCAGGGAGACGCTCTGGTTCTTTGGCTCTTTGACCCCTTGGGTTTAAGCACAGTGGGAGGCTTCCAAGGGAGAAGACAGGACTGTTTCTTCCTCTGCCGCGCAGCAGAGCTTCCTGAGAGGGAAGGAGGCAACGCCCTTTGGAAGTCCCACCTGTGCTCACTGGTGATGGTTCATGCCTCTGCCTCCTGAGTCCCAGGAAGGCTGGAGGCCTCAGTGAATAAGCCTTTTGGTGAGGGAGGCACATACATATGTCCCAGCCCAGTCCCTGGCCCAAACACCGTGCTGACCCTACAGCCCCTTGCCCGAGCACCCCACCCGACCCAAGATGGCCCACCAAGTCATCCTTTCCACTCACCTTTCTTCCCATCTACCCCCAATTTATAATTTATTTCTTATTTATTAAAAGTATTATTTGGAAATAATACTTTTTTTTTTTTTGGTCTTTTTGAGACAGGGTCTCCCTGCAGCCCCAAATGTCCTGGAACTCACTATGTAGACCAGGCTGTCCTCAAACTCACAGAGATCCACCTCCCTCTGCCTCCCGAGTGCTGGGATTAAAGGCGTGTGCCACCATGCCCGGCTGGAAATAATACTTTTAAAAATATTTAATAATTTTTAAAATTAATTCCAAAATTGTTCCTAGTGCAACAGTGAGTTCCTAGTGATGGGTTGAAGAGTTTTCCTATCTGCTTTCTTCATGACTTTATAAAGAGCTGAGCTTTCTAGTTTTCAAGTCCTGACCATGGGCAAGGTCATAAGCAGCTGGAAATGATTTTCTGGGATGGAAACAGGCCAGGCCCTGCTGGCTCAACCTTACCCTGAGCCTGGACTGCCTTTCCCCTGCCATGTGAGTGAGTGGTGGGCACGCGCTGCAAAGGCTGTTCTAGGACCCCAGTGTGACTGGCTGAATGACAGAACCCAGGAAGGAACTTTTGAGTTCCCAGAGCCTGAGAACCGCGCTGTTCTCCGGTGTCCACTAGGGGCACTCTAGAGTCGGAGGTGCCTCCGGGACCCACTGAGGCTGTGAGCTCTCCGCCTTGCTGTGCTGGTCCGGCCCAGGGCACCCCTCCCACCCCCTCACTGTCCTCTCTCTTCTTTCTTCCTCTTTTGTTTTTTCCAACTTCCTTTTTTCTGTTTTTTTTATAACTGAGGACCTTCACCTGTACAACACAGAGTCAAAGAATTGCTCATGTTAAACAGTGTTCTATAGGTGCTCACAAAGCACATATTTAATTCATTAATAGTAATTAACACACCAGCAATCCTCCATTGTTAAGGCATATACCTGGAGTGATACCCTATAAATGCTACCTGAAAGCAAATTCTTGCGAGTATGGTGATGCACACCTTTAATCCCAGCCCTCAGGAGGCAGAGGCAGGCAGATCTCTGAGAGATCCAAGTCAGCCTGGTCCACACAGTGACTTCCAGGCAGGCTGGGACTAGGGAGACTCTGTCAAAAATTTAAAAAGCTTCTTGGCCAGGCATAGTAGCACATGTCTACCTTTAATCCCAGCCCTCAGGAGGCAGAGGCAGGCAGATTCTGAGAGATCCATGTCAGCCTGGTTCACACAGTGACCAGGGACTAGGGAGACTCTGTCAAAAATTTAAAAAGCTTCTTGGCCAGGCATGGTAGCACATGTCTACCTTTAATCCCAGCCCTCAGGAGGCAGAGGCAGCGGATCTCTGTGAGATTGAGGCCACCCTGATCCACACAGCGAGTTCCAGGTCAGCTAGGGCTACAGGGAGACCCTGTCTCAAACAAAAAAACAAAACAAAACAAATAATTACTGTGGAGATGGCTCAGTAGATACAGTGTTTGCTGTGCAAGCATAAGGGTCTGAGCTTGGGTCCCCAGAACACTTGTAAACTACAAGATGTAGCATGCATCTATAATCCCAACTCTCCCCCGATGAAGAAAAGCAGAGACAGGAGAGTCCCTGGAAGCCTGGGGGCCAAGCAGCCTGGTGCACACAGCAGGCAAGAAATCCTGCCTTAGACCAACACCTGAGGCTGTCCTCTGACACACAAGCTGTGGCTCATACACACATCACACACACACAAATGCAACAACTTATTTTACTATGGGAGTGTCCTGTAACTTGAACAAGATGCAAGTTAACAACACAAAATGCAAAGCCACTCAGATAATTTTTAACATTCACTTTAATGTGTAATTTTCCAAACTTTAATTTGTACTTCTGTACATAGATAAGAGATACTGTGGTATTTTGAGTGTCCCCCCATAGGCTCAAGTATTTGAACACTTGGCCCCAATTGGTGGCACTGTTTTGTGGGGTTTAGGAGGTATGGCCTTGCTAGAGGAAGCAGGACACTGGGGGCAGGCTTCAAGAGTTCATAGCCACACCCCCTTTCTAGTATTTCTCTCTCTGCTTCCTGTACCTGCCCAAAGATGTGAGCTCAGCTTTCTGACTGGCCATGTCCTGCTGCCATGCCTCCCCACTACCATGATGGACTCCTTCCTCTGGAATGGTAAGTCAAATGAATGTTTTCTTCTATAAGGTGCCTTGGTCTTGGTGGCTTATCACAGCAACAGAGAAGTAACTAATACAGACACTTAAAACAGAAGAATGGGCTTATTCTATTTCATAAATAACTTGTTCAGTTTAAAGATGTATCTTTTTTTAATGACAGCACAGTTTTTAGGAGTCCCAGGGGCAGGGTCTTGGTTCTTTTTGTGTCTACTACTTATACACAGTGCTCTGATGTGCAGCTCCTTATTTTCTTCCTTAAAACAAATGTTTAGAAATAGACTATTGGGTCAAGGGGATCCATACACTTTGTATAAACATTCCAAGAGCTTGCATCAGCCCTACTCACCAGTGTCAGCCAAAGTTGATACTTAGGCTTTTGCCTAAAAGGGTCATAATTTCTTGTCTTAAGCAAATAAGGAAAAAAAGAAGTTGGGGGAGGAGAAGATGTTTTCAACACTGTTCTCATTAAGCATCTCTGACTACAGTATGGCTACCCTGTCTCCAGGGACGCTGACCACAGGAAGTTTGAGTGAGCTACAGCTGAGTCCTTACCCACTGACAAATTACCACACTCCTTCACAAGAGCACTCAGCTCACATGGGCTGACTCTGTGCAAATTTTATATGTGAAATGGTTTCTTTAGGATTTCCCCAAACATCAAAAGTGACTTTGTAGTTCTCTTCAAAGGGCCTTTCTCTTTCTCAGGATCCTATGAGCTCTCATGTTTATGTCATTTTATTGACTAAATTAGAAAACGTCCATCTTACTCTGTGCCCTAAATCGTTTGTAAAGCACAAGAACTATAGACTAGGAAGATGGACGTACTTGATAGGCCTATGACAGGATGCACAAGAAGATGAGGCAGGAGGATCACAAACTCACATAGACACACACATGTGAGGCAGGAGGATCACAAACTCACATAGACACACACATGTGAGGCAGGAGGATCACAAACTCACACAGACACACACATGTACACATAAAAATAAACAAATAACCTGAAAAAATAATTGCATCTTGCCAGGAGTGGTGGCACACGCCTTTAATCCCAGCACTTGGGAGGGAGAGGTAGGTGGATCTCTGTGAGTTCAAGGCCAGTCTGGTCTACATAGTGAGTTCTGGGACAGCTGGGGCTACAGGGAGACCCTGTCTCAAAAAGATAAAAAAAAATTATCTAAATGCTTTAAACAAAACAAAACAAACCAGGATGCCTGCACAAGGTGATGAGAGATACAAATTAAATTAAAGCAATAATACAATGTCCTTTTTTCTATGTCATGTTAGCAATTGTTTTTTGTTTTTGTTTTATTTTTTTGGCCTTTTTGAGTCAGGGTATCCCTGTAGCCACAGCTGGCCTGGAACTCGCTATGTAGACCAGGCTGGCATACTCTCAGAGAGATTTTTGAAGTGATAAAATCCATGATGACAGTTATAATCAAGGTAAGAATTACAACCTTGGCAAGACCAAATAATGGGATCCTATTAAACTTTTTTTTTCATTTATGAGTGTATCACCTACATGTGTATAAATGCACCCATGTCATGCAGCACCTGCAGAAGTCATAAGAGACATTGGATCCTCTGGAATTGGAGTTATGGACAATTGCTAACAGCCATGTGGGTGCTGGGAACTGACCCTAGGTCTTCTGGAAGAACAACCAGTGCTCTTAACCATTAACTGCTGAGCTATCTCTCAAGCCTCCATTTTTTTTTAAACATTTATTTATTTTGTTAGGGGCCCATGTGTCATGGCACACAGGTGGAAGTCAACTGGTGGGAGCAGGTTCTCTACCTCTACCATGTGGGTTCTGGGGATTAAGCTCAGGTTGCCAGGCTTGGTATCAAGTGCCTTTACTGGCTGAGTTATCTAACACACCCCTCCTAGTAAACATTTCAATTCATGGAGATTCTAGCAGACAGCCTGAGAGGGTGGGTTCAGACCTCCATCAGGGTAGCAGCTCAGAGCTCAGCAGACTGCCAGAGAGTGCCGGGTTCTGGCCTCCCTCTGGCCTCCAACTACCAGAGGACCTGAGAACCCAGGGGACTACCTGATAGCCCTGGATCCTGCGTCCACGTGGTGTGAGCTTCCCCTAAGTGTGCCATACCATCCCCAACCTGGGATTTTGTGAGGCCCCCTCCCAAGGCCCCAGGGCAGATCTGGCTTTGGTAGGCTAAGGCTGAGATCCTAGCAGACAGCCTGAGAGGGTGGGTTCAGACCTCCATCTGTGTAGTAGCTCAGATCTCAGCAGACTGCCAGAGAGTGCCAAGTTCTGATCCCCCCCTCTGTGCTCCCTCTGGCATAGGATTGACAAGCACAGGACTGTCTGAGAGAGCCTGGATCCTGCCTCCACGTGGTGAAGGAAGCCTGAACGTACCTGACTGGAACCTGAATTGGGCTTCTGTGGATACCCCTGAATAGCAGATCTGAAGCCATCAATTCCTTCCAAAATAAACCTGAGAGAACCTGAACACTGTACCAACCAGCTTTACATAACCAATAAAGAAAGGATCTAGGCACCCGGATAATACAAACAGAAGCATACTTCAACTTAATTCTCATATCAGAATCATAAACAACAAAAGAAATTCACTTTCCAAAACCACAATGAAAGAATAATAAACTGGAAAGTCAAAACACCATGTCCCCACCAAACCCCATCAATCCTATAGAAGAGTTCAACAAGGAAAAACCCCTAGAGATAACCCAGGACACTGAATTTAAAAGAACAATCATAAACATGATCAACAAATTTAAAGAACACACGAACACACAAATCGAAGAGCTAAAAGAAGATAGGGATAAACTTCTGAATGAAGTCACAAAAGAGATAGAAACATTGAAGAAAACTCAGGCAGAAATGAAGAAGTAAGTGCAAAACTCAATAAGCTGACTTGAAACCAAAAGGGAAAGCCTCACCTCTAGAATGAATGAAATGGAAAACAGAATATCAACCCTGGAGGGTAAAGTTGAAGAATTGGACGACTCAAGCAAAGACAATGGAAATTTTTAAAAAAGACAGGTAAATGGAGTATGCAAGAAATGTGGGACACCATGAAAAGACCAAATCTACAGATCATAGGTATAGAGGAAGGAGAAGAATTCCAGGCTAATGGTGTTGACCAGATCTTAAACAGGATTGTAGAAGAGAATTTCCCAAAATTAAGGAAAGACATCCCTTTACAAATACAGGAAGCACATAGAACACCAAATAGGATCAGAAAAGAAACTCCCTATGACATAGCATAGTAAAAACAGCAAATGTATAGAACAAAGAGAGAATACCGAAACCACAAGAGAAAAACAACAGGTCACATACAAAGGAAAGCCCATCAGAATTACAGCTGACTTATCAATGCAAACTATGAAAGCCAGAAGAGCCTGGACCAAGGCATTTCCAGTTCTACATGATAATAGATGACAGCCCAGAATATTATACCAGGCAAAAATGTCTATTATAGTTGAGGGAGAAAGAAAACCCTTCCATGACATGAATAGACTGAAAGACTACATGTCCACAAAACCATCCCTTCAAAGAATACTTGAAACAATACAGAGAGCAGAGAGAGAAACAACTATACCCAGGGGCAACAAAAGAAAATAAACAAAGATATAATCTAGGAAACACAAAATTACACAGAGAATACAAACAGCAATCAAAATCACGGCAACCAATACACAGCTTTCAATAATAACCTTAAATTTCAATGGACTGAACTCCCCAGTCAAAATACACAGGCTAAGCTAATGGATTAAGAAACAAAATCCATCTCTTTGCTGTCTGCAAGAAACCCATCTCACCTTCAAAGACAGGCACTACCTTAAGGTAAAAGGATGGAAAAGAATATTCCAAGCAAATGGCACTAAGAAACAAGAAGGGTTGCAATTCTAGGATCTGACAAAATAGACTTCAAAGTAAAACTAATCAGAAGAGATAAGGAGGGTCACTTCATTCTGA